ACATTGGCATGGTCACGGTTCACCAGTCTGACTTGCTGGGATTCCTTTCCTTTCTCCTCTTGGCCCCAAAGCGCAAGTTGTCTCGCGTTCGGTGTCTCCGCGAGGCTTTGCACTCAGCGTTGACCCCGAACAGGATAAGCGCCACGGGAAGCGGATGGATGGCGTTTTTTTTCTCCTGTTTTACAAGTGCTCTGACTGTTCACGTCTGATCCAAAACCAAGACTTCTTAATCGCCCTCACGACAAAAGGAAATGACAGATTGTCCCCATAAATAAAAACCGCTTAAGGTGTCGTATTTTGTATGAAAATGTGTCATTCTTAAAATATCAAGATCAGAGCGCAGACTTCGGCCAATTGCAATAACCAAATTGAGACGGATGGCGAGATTCCGGCCGCAAGTCTCAAACCGCTTTTCACCGCAGCGTCGTACTAATTAATCTTTGAAGGCGCGCGTTGACCTTTGGTGAAAAAGGGGCAAAGGCGGCCACTTTGAAAAGACTCCTCCTGTGGGATCGGAACAACATTGCGAAGGTCAAGTGAACCCGAGTGGGCGCGCAGCACGGCGGGGACAGACAATACATGACGCGCTGTTCGCTTTGCGGCTTGCGCGGAACAAATTGGGGTCGGGATTCGGATTCCGTGACTGTGAAGGGTTCTGCCTCCGTTGGGTCAAAGCCTCACGGAATGACATCGTGCGGTTGCCTGGCTTTTCGACCCATCTGAAACAGCTGACGCAAGGCAGCGGGCGGCCAGCCGGCGCTGTGTGTGTGCGCGCGCGCGTGTGTGTGTGTGTATGTGTGAGACTTTCGAGGGCAGGCGGTGTGAAGGCGCAGGCAGATGGCGCAAAAGGTAACTGTTTTTAGCTAACCACATTTCCAAAAAGGACCCCTGGGAACTGTGGATGAGTGACAGCTGAGGTGGAGCGAGGGGGGGGCAAGTAGGTGGGAGACTTTTTCCTGTGTTTTTGCGTGCCCGTTCCTTCACGACTGAGACCTACAGGATGTATGTACACAGTACACACGGGGCCGTCCCTCACGGCCGCAGTTGGTGTACGAGAGCGGGCCCCCGGGGGACCACCTGTGGAACACCTCAATTTTCCTCCAGGGAGCAACGCCATTGAGGTAAGGGATGGGTGGGGAGGGGCTCCTCCCTGTCACCCTTTTACCTCCGACGTGCAGAAACCCCAAAGAGTATCCCTGACGCTAATATGGAAAAAAAGCCCGTTTGGAGCGAATATGAGGGCAAATATTATTCTTCCTGACAGTTACCACGGCGAGCACCTCTGACCTGGCAGTGAAACTGTCGAAACAAAAAGCCCAAAGACTTTTTTTTTTTTGCTCCATCAAAGGAGCGCTACATAAAATAAACACGGCCATCAGATTATCGCGCTCGAACACGAGGCCACGCTAAGCCCGCTCCGGCACAGCCTCTCAGCTCTATGGGAGTTAAGTGTGGGGTCCGCATCGGTCAACACCGTGACGTAAAACGGAACAGGCGTCTGACAGAAGCCTCGGACCGGTCGGAACACGGAACGCGGCCCCCCGCGTGAGGTCCCCCGGCCCCGAGGCGACGCAGGAGAGCACAAGGAATGGAGGGGAAAGGTAGAGCGGAGCAAAACAGCGGCGTCCCATATTGGCGGCACCTCTGGCCCCGCCCCAAACGACAGTCCCCGGGACACGCCGCCGCCAGTGGGGAGCGAAACAGGGCCGGGCCACCATGGTTTGGTGGTCGTGGTGAGACTGCGAGGCTGGATCCCACCTCACTGGGCTTCTTTATACCCCCGGCGCGCGCCTGTCCGAGAGGAACTCGGTCTTTGTGCTTCGACGTGCATCCGTCTCACGTTTGGGCGAAACACCGATCTGCCCCTTGAAAGCTTTTCTCCGTTTGTACGTCTGGCTGAACGTGACCTATTTTCCTCGCCGGCCTTCAAGAGCAGTCTGTCTACGCTCCCAGTCTGTCTGTGTGCCGGTCTGTGAACTAACAGAGAATCTCCCCCCTGCTCCTGTGTTTCCTACCTCACCTTTGCACAGGACTCAGCTGTGAACAATGTTCCACTCTCTGGCTGTCTGACTGCGTCTGATACAGCCAGACTCTTCAAATATTTTCACTATGAGACCCAAAAGACTTTTTTTTCCCCCTCATTTATACGGAGCCAGACTTCATAGTGATCCCCACACCCACACACACACACACACACACACACACACACACACACACACCCGCCAACCCCCACCTTCTCGATGAGGCCATGATACAAAAACAATTTAAGTCCACATCACGGTTAAGGTTCCACAATGTGTGGTAATGATGACTGCTTTGGGCCGAGAAGAGCCCACACACTTTCCAATCCAATTTCCTGATCGTCTCACAGTCTCCGTCAGCGGCCCCTGACGTAGGACTCGAAAAACGTCCTCACGCTGCCGGCTTTGGGGTGACGTCGGGCTCAGGTAAAATGCTGCCAGATCACCAACGCGGAGCCTTTGCCAAATGGGAGCTTTTCGTGTTCAGTGCGCAGGGCCGTGGGCCATTATGCACCCCTGAATCGTGACTCCTGGGTGTGTGCCCGTGTGTGTGCGCGCCTGTGTGTGTGCGCCAGTGTGTGTGTGTGTGTGTGTGTGTGTGTGTGGTGTGAGTATGCGCTCGTGCAACACAATCACTGCGGTCCAGCGTGACATTACTCGCCTCCCTACTGTTTTCCTCCTCTTTTCATCCTTTTCTCTTTTCTCCTCTGACTCAGCTGTTTTGGTAGGAAACTCCGTCTCTTTGAAGAGTGGAAGAATCTTTCATTACTCGACAGCGGGCTCGGAGAAGGAAAAAAAAAAAAGAGAGATGATAGAGAGAGAAGAACCGGCCCATTGTCTTCAGCCCGCCCGCGCTCCCGTGCCCGCAGTCGGCGATGGTAATTGTGCGGGGCTAATTACAGAGAAACGCCACAACAACAGGTGTGGGGGCGGTGGGGGGGGGGGCGCACCTGGGCGGAAGAAGCCGGAGCCTGGTGTGGTGGCGCAATTCCGGGTGAAAGTGAGCATGACATGTCGTCTGTGTCAGATCACAGGAAGCATTTGTGTGTCACCCGCTTACTAAAGCTGACACGGTTACTTAATCCCCGTCAGACGCTGCTCACGGTAGTGCAAAAGACATCAAACCATTAGCAAAGGGCCAGTCTGAGACTCCATCTGTGTCAAATTATACGTCTTAAAGCCTACATCTGTGTGGCATGACTGGAAAGTTGAAATGGGCGCACAAACACATGCTAATTATGATCACCTAATCGCCCGCTCTCTAACTGGAGACCCCCGGGGGGTGGTGGAGGTCCGTAAGCCGTAACTTGGGGCCCGTAAACTCCTTTGAAATCAATTATTACAGTAGACTGACGTCTTGGAATAGAAGTTGAATTTGTTCCGTGGCCACGTACATCTCAAATCATCTTTCATGAAACGGTTCCTGAGAGTCATAACATAATTCCATCGAATGTAAATCGTGAAAACTTGTGCGCATCATGATTTTAAAGTCATGCCGGGAGACGTGAAAAAGAAGAGTTTTTCTTTATTTGAAGTGACTCCGTAAGCCTGTCATTTTTGTCACTTTTCATCAAGACTGAAGACAATAGACCTGTGATCGTTGTGATACAATCTTACTACAACTGTGACGATTGAGGCCAACTGTTAGCATGTCAATGGCTAGCATGGTTAGCATCAATCTCGCAGGTGTTTCTTGAGACATCGTTGTTTGGTTGTTTTGAATACGCAATGTGTCATTCTCTTTGTGTTCTGTTCATTTGACTTTGAACTTCAAGTGAGCGCAGACACAACCTTGGGCTTTTCTAAACGAACCTCGCTCTATTCGCAGCCCGGTTGTTCATGGGCGCGGTGCAACAAATTGAATTAGACTGAATTCGGTGGAGTTCCTTTCGGTTAACAAGTCCGTGATAATTTGTTTGAAACAAACAAATTAAAAAAGAAGAAAAAAAAAGACATTTAGGAGTGTACATGGCGCTCATGTTTCATCGGTGTAAAGATGATAAGGCGGTTCTAAGATTCCTTCCCTACATGGGGCCCGTGGACCCGAAAGTTTTGAGACCGAATTGATGAAGCGAGCCACCGGGGTGCTTCCGCTTTCATCAACCTTTAGCAGTCTTTTTCAGCACTCAGTTTTTTTTTTTTTTTGGATGTCTTGCAGTGAGAATACTGGGGAGACGAGCCCGCAGGGGGCAACGGTGATGATGTAAGCAGAGGGGGAGTGGCCGATGGAGTCTCTGGGTGATAGTGACGTTGTTTTTTTTCAGCGTTTTACGGTAATCATGCGAGGAGCTGACCGGAAGAGAGGAAACCAGTTTGGGTGGACGCCAGCGTTGCAGAACAATAACTTTGCAGGGACGTCAGAGGGCTTCGGCCTCCAAACAGAGACGCTGATGCACTGTTTTCTTTGGACTCGCGCTTGCTAAGTATGCGGACTTAACTGGATATGACAGAGACCGGGTGCAGCGACAAGTACATGCCACGCCGTTAGTCATTTGACGCCACGATAGCGGCACCACCTGTCTGCCCTTCGTGCTCGGACATCATCGAGGGACTTTACCACATGAATGAAATGGGAAAGCACTCCGATGTGTCACATCAATTGAAGGGAAATTAAAATTGGCCTCTGCACTTTTCAGCTCTGACCTTGTTTTTTTTTTTTTTTTTTTTTTTAAACGATAACTTGCATTGGTGGGGACTTTTGTCTGATCATCATTTTGTTGCCTTGAGTCATGAGCCGACGCAAAATGCGACCATGATGACAGGAAATGAGAGCTGTGCCTTTGGCGCTGGTGATTATGTCCAAGTATGATGGCCTCCTTAGTCAAGCGCTTCTACTTGCAGACTCATCATTTCAACTCAGAGGGGGAATGGGTCCTGCAGCGCCACCCTGTGGACACACTTTTGTCCGCTGATGCCAAAGCCCCGCCTACCACCAGAGGCCTTCGTTTGGGACGAGCTTGCCAAAACTCAAAGGGCAAATGGAGACTGAGGACTTTTATTACAAACAAGTACTTTTTCCTTGATACACTTACGTAAGACAAACATTGAAAGCTTTGCTCCAAAGGCTTTTCGGTACATTTGGGGAATCAAAACAACACGGTCCTCTTACAGTACTTGGAAAAATCGAAAAGGATTACATGAAGCGATATGAGAACGTCGTGAAGTTTGGTGGTTTGTATTTGATGCGACATCCGTAAATCTCGATCCGGGGCGGCTCACAGCCGAGTCCTCTGATTGGCGGGAAGCTCGTCCTGGTCCAGCCCCCACAAAAAGGTGCGAAGGCGCGTCACTTCCTTTTGGAGGTCCGAGCTGGGCACCGGCTGGGAGAGGTCAAGCCGAGGGGTCTCGTTTGGCAGGATGAGAGGAGGGTGGTCCAGGAAGCTCTCAAATATGTCTGAAATGTCAGCAAGCGGGATAGAAATATCAAACTTTGTACCTGGATAAGTTTTAAAGGCCCTCGGCAGACGCCCCGATCAAAAATAAATCACACCGTCCTCGCCAGAAATACAAACTATGTGCGCAGATTGCACATGTTTTGCTCCGACTAACAAATCGGAGCTGACTTGCCCTTGTCAAATTGGAAAAAAATGGTCGGTTTTCGAAACATTCCAATTGCCAGTGTAGTTGAAGTTACAGCAGCCGGCACTTCTGATTCTACGGGCAGATTGGGTGCACATGGCAACACATAGAGGCTGACATCTGATTGGACGAACAAATCCAACACTGGACACAAAACAAATTGCCTCTTGGAAATGAAGGACAACACGACTTCAGAGTTTGGTGTTGAGTGGCGCTCTCAAGTTAGCACCTCTATCGTGTTTAGGCCAAGAGTTTATAGTCAGTATGAAACGTATTACTGTACCTCCACTCAGCACCGTGCCAGGTGGCGGAGCCCAGGAGGCCGGGGGGGCTCTGCTCGGTCCGAGCTTGTAATGAGTGAGGAGGTGGTGCAGTTGGGCGGGGCTTAGCAAGGCGTGATCCTCTTGTAAACTCTTCCAGGAGGACTAGAAAAGAAAAGCAAAAAAGTTCCACCGCAGAGTCCAATCGGGCAACAAAGGGGAAATCCTTTTACCTGGATCAGACGCGTTTTAGGAATACATAAAAAGTTGACGATGACTGACAGCTTCTTCATGAACTCGGAGGCGATGTCCCCAAGACCCGCCCCCTGGAGCCAGTCCAGGACCAGGTCCAAGTTTGTACGGATTTGCACGGCTCGGGACCAAGAAAACAATGCGTCTTTGAAACACACACGCGCACACACACACACACACACACACACACACACACACACACACACACACACACACACACACACACACACACACACACACAACAGGGATTTTTTTAACATCTCATCATTGAATGAGAGTTCACTTGAAATGGGTGTTACGTGTTTTTTCCAATTTCAATCAAACCATGAAAATTGCTACGTTTGTGAATATTCTTTTTTTTTTTTTTTTTTCATTCAATCGTCATCTCACATCCAGTCTCCAAACTTGACAACCGGGCTACAGGACTGAGTTTCATTTTAACATTTCATTGACTGTGTGAAAGTGAGACAAGTTTGGGAAGGGGCCGTCGTTAGCTTGTTAGCTTGTTAGCCGCTACCATCCGTCAAGGAAGATATGACGCAATCCGTCGCGTATCATGGTTGCGCAATGGTTGACTTCTCACCTCTTTCCAACAAGGTGTTGAGCAAAGAGGTGTTGGTGAAGAAGAAGAGGTAGCCGAAGGTTTGGGAGGTGAGCGGCGGGGAAAGGCGAGCTTCCCGGGAGAGCACCAGGGAAGAGCGATACACTTCCACCAGCCCGGCCACTTTGGGCGGCAGGGCGGACACGTCGTCCACCTCCTGGTCTCCTTTGCCCTCTCCCTCCGCACCCGCCGCTGCGGCCTTTTCCTTCTCCTTCTCCTCTGTGGAGAAAGGGTTGGTGTCCAGCAGGGCAGGGAGGAGCGAGTAGAGGGTCTTGCGGACAGGGGGGGACAGGAAGCGGGCTCATTTGCACGCGAGGCGGATGAATAACGTCGACGGCGGGGCTGGCATGTTTTACCTTGGTGAGATGATAGACGCACTGCTGGAAGGTGTGCATGATGACCTCATCGAGTTGCGCAAGAGCTTCTGAGCATGTGTCCATGTCGGCCGTCAACAGCGGATCCCCCGGGGCTGTGTTATGAACAAGCATGAGGACGGTTTCAAAAGGAGGCGCCGCTTTTGCCCTCTGAAATCATCATGACCTCAGCGACGGGCGTGACGTTGACAAAAAAACGGCTTTGCCAATTGTGTCAATCATGAATGGAGTACAAACGCATGACATTCTGGTGCGGGTTCAGCGATGGCAGCTTGGCTGACGTTGACTTTTTGACAAGTGGTCGTTTGGATAAATGTCTTAATGACAAACAGGCATATGAAAGAGTCTTGGCCTGCGAAGATGTCTTGGCTCTTCTCGGTGGCATTCACGCACGACTTTGAACAGCGCTGACACAATCACCACCCACAATTCGACCTCAGAATTCGAACGTCCTAAATCTGGGTTGGCAAACTCATTTTCGTCGCGGGCCACATCGTAGTCAGGGTTCGCCTCGGACCGCAGTTATGACCGTGAAACCGGAACGCGGGGGATATGCAAAGTCCTCACACTCTTGTTTAATTGCAAGGGTTTGGTGGTACTGTACATTAAAAAAAAAAAAAAAAAAAAAAGAGAACAAGATGAATCATTTCACAACTATTTTCTACCATGAATGAATTGTACGACAAATATATATTTCTATTTTCAAGGAGAGTGAGCCGAAGTGATTGCACAAGTGCGCACACCCTCTTCTGCTTCATCGGATGCTCTTGCGGCGACCAGCGGATTTCGTTTTCTCTCGCTTTCTCACCTTCAAATTCCCACTCTTTCTCCATGTGCTCCACTTTAACCTGAAAGAAGTTGAGGAGCTCAGTGGCATTGGACATCCAGAACATCAGTGGCCTGAGGTCCGACGACAACTTCTGGACATTGGCTGCGCTAATCTCGCTTTCTGGCTCACAGGAACTGGACACAACAGGTAATGCCATTCCAGAAGGAGTTGCTTACATAATTTTGGAACTTCACGTCTTGAATAATAACACACGGGGTTATTTTTACCCGACTCGATTTTTGCAACTTGCTATCATCACACCACAAAAATGTAGCGCAGTCATAACAGCGCACGGACAAATGTATCATGGATCGCTGAGCGCGAGGCCACTCAAAGAAGCAAAAAAAAAAAAAAATAAAGTCTTACTTTTGCGTGGGATGCTTATCCCCAAATTCCTTAATGTTATCCTGTAAAGAGATTTGGAGACAGAAGAGAGGAGAGAGACATCTCGGGTTAGTGTGGAGGTGGTGGTAAAAGTCGGGTCGGGCCCCGCGGCCAGCACCATGACAGCACATTTTCCAGCAACACAAGGGAGTGACATCAGCTCATCCCTGCTCCTCTCCATAATTTAGCAATCCACAATGACGGGCACACGGCACGTCTGCATCTGTCTTGATCAAGGCAGTCACCTCACACTGCACACTGACTGACAATACCTGCTTTCCTTTTCAAACTGCAAAAAAAAAAAAGGCCACGTCGCGTTACAGTACGTGTTTTCTCTCAAGTATTCTGCCTGACTAAAAATGATCACGCTCGATGTTGTCAGTTGAAACGAATTTAGGACTAACTGCTAAAAAGTAGTCTCATTGCTAATTGCTAGTTCTAGGCCACCTGTGTCAAACTCGAGGCTCGGGGGCCAGGTCCGGACCGCTACGTCATTTTATGTGCCCCCCGAAAGAAAATCATGCCCGTCAACTTACACGATCCTTGCTAAAATCTCTACGGAAATGTCAAATTGTCATGTGTAACAAATAACATTGAGATTTTGCAATCATTTTGTTACCCTGTTTATAGTCACTTGAACAACATTTGACAATTATCGCTGACTCGACTGATTTAAAAACTCGTGAGACATTAATTTCTCATGTACAAGGAATAATGCGATGAGACGATGAAACCGTTTTTTTGGTTTCACCGTCGAAACGGACCTCCGAGGGAAGACGTAACTCCAAGGTGGCCCTTGACAAAAAATGAGTTTGAGACCCGATTGACTTGGCAACACACAGAGGCTGAAATCTCCTTGGAACAATAAATAAATATAGAAATATAGAAATCCAGCATCATGTAGCTGGAACCGGTGCAGCCAAGAGAGACTCAACAAAATGCACTCAAGACAACTGTGCACTTGTACCTAATAATGTGGCCTTTGTGTGTCCGTGATCACTGGAATTTATACTATTGGGTCCTATTTTTGTGGCCGGGGCAAGTTCAGCGCAAAATGCAGTCCAACTGTGCGCATGGGTGGCATTCCCTTTCTTTTGGTACTTTCCTCCACGGTTGCAGTCAGAAATGGGTGCCTGCGTCGCTGTGGGAGTGAGCACCGTCGACTTGATTCCCAGCCAATCGAAGCAGCCCCTCTTTGTGCACCTGTCTACGACATTCGGGACCGTTCAAAGTGACTTACCCAGACGATGTCTTTGATCTGGTTGGCCGCCTTGAGTAATATCTGCGGCGTGAGCGCAGGGTCGAGGCGCTTGGATGCGTGGTCGATCATGATTGACAGCAGATACGCCGGTGCCAAAGGCCCTCCTCCAGAGTCGGGAGAGGAGTTTTTCGATAGTATCTCCTAATCGACCGGTGAGAGACGCAATCTCGATTATTCGTCCGGCAAAGGATGGTTCAGATTGCCACCGGCAATGACCGCTTCATACTCCTGACATTTCCTTTCTTCCCAAATCAACAAAGGTAGGCAGTGGCCCGGCACCGCGTCTTTTCCCGCCTCACCTGCAGCAAGGCATCGGCGTGCCGAGGATGGAACTTGAGCGCCGACTCGGTGGATCCCAGGTAGTGCCTCAGCGCCTCCTGCTTGTCCGCCGACCCCGAGGAGCAGCAGGGGTGCGAGCCGTCCGAGTGCCAAGGCAGCGTCAGTGCCAACGGGGGAGCTGGGGTGACACGGGGGTCGCGGTACAAAAAAAGGAAGTGGTCCCCAAGTCCGATGACGTCGCCAGGTTTCAGGAGAGTCTCCCTGTAGAGAGCCAAGCCGTTGTGTGTGACGGCACCCCCTCGGAAAGGCCGCATCAAGGCTGGAAGAAGATGAGAGCAGAATACAGCATCCCTTGACGACTCATTAAAAAGAAAAAAAAGAAACTCAAATGACCTTTGCCCATTGAAATGTGAGAACTGCCGTTCATACACCGAAGCCTCCCAAAACAACAAGAGCTAAAGAGTCCTTCAAACAAACCTCTATGATATTATGCGAAGAAAAATGAGTACATTTAAAATACATTCAAGATGAATTGATGAGGACGAAAAGGGGCTTGGAATTCGAATTACTTTTAGTTGGGTTTCAGAACGAAAGCTCTCGTTTCGATTTTTCAAAAGCACTTTTGTTTGGATTTTGTTTTCTTCACGAAAATGATTTTCTCAATTGTCGTTGGAATTATTTCCTTGTAAACTCTCATCACCTTGAAAGACACCTATGGAGATGGTCACTGCTTCTCAGTTAGCTGCAGTAAAATTCTCCATTCTTTGCGGAGGATAACGAATACATTAGCTTTGAGTATTGTTATGTTATTTGTAAACACGTGTCGCCGCCATTTTTCTTGAAATATCTGTTGCTTAAAAAGGGTGACAAGACCGCGCCGGCGATGCTGCGCGTAGTTGGAGAGTACATTTTAACAATTAGCAGTTAGAGGCTGTTTATTGTTTGTTTGTTTTTGTAATGATTCACCGTCAACGACAAGACCCCCGCGTGTCGCGCGTCGATTCTGTTGTTGTAACGCTGTGTCTACCTCGCCCGGCGGGTGTCTCGGGAACAGCGGAATCCCTCCTGACGAGTAAGTGTCGGGCCAGGAGGTCGGGCGCGGACAGGAAGGTGTCCACCTTGAGAGGCTTCTTCCCCTTCCTCTCTCTCTCTTTGTCCTTCTCCCGCTCCCTCATTGTGGCCTTTCTCCCAAACACGTGTGTCTGTCCCGCCATAATGTACAAAACAAAATCCTAAAGAAAAACACACAGCGGCGGAAAAGGGTGAAGGGATGTCTCCCGGGGGGTCTGCGCGGTTTACATCAAGCCCCCATCAGATACGCAGGCGAACACAGGGGAGTTGACATTATACAAAGTGTGTCACAGTTTGCTACAAAGAGGACCTGTGTGAGGTCATTGTGCGAGATGGAGTGATGTGCACACGGCCTCTTGTGTTTCGGGAGTGTGTGTTGTCCGGGCATTGTGCACGTCGGCAGATGTTTTGAGTCGGACGCCTGGCGCGGAGAGGCTGGCGGTGAGATGGAAATGCAGATGGCACGCGGCGATGAAGAGCATACAGGTATGATGTCATGACCTGGGTGTGTGCGCACGTGTTTGTGTGCCTCCACATTTGAGTCATCATCCCGGACATGGATACGCGGGGCTCGTCCGTGGTTACGCCGCTGTTTGGGAGCGCGATAGCATCTGTGAGCGTGTCTTGCCTTGCTCTGGTCGTAACCCTGCAGCAAGAGGAAGTAGGGCCGGTCCGTCGGCGGAAGGATCAAACTTTGGGACATCATCTCCAGGTCACAGTTGGAGTAGTCCTTCTCCTCGGGCGGCTGGTGCGTCCATCCGACCTTTGCCTCCGCCTTGGATGCTCTAATCTGAATATGTTGACCACACCCCATCCCCCACAAAAAAAAAAAGAAAAATCACTAGAAGACAACCAATCATGGATCAATACCTCCACCAAGGACATAAACAAGGAGTCTACACACCACTGTAATGTAGAAAAATGAGATCGAGATCAATAATTTTAAAACTGTATCCAGTTTGTAAGTATCCAGTTTTAACGTAACCTGAAACATCAACCACAGAGCTGTGATGAAACAACTGAAATAATAACCAGTGTGCACCCAGAGTATCATAGATCACAAAAACTGAAAAAATAAATCATTCACAGGAGGCTGTCAAGAGGCCGACAGCAACACTGGAGGAGCTGCCGGAATTTCTGGCAACTACTGGCTGTCAAGTACATGTGACAACAATCTCCCATTTCCCTTCCATCGCTGCGCTATGGGTGAGGACTTTGAAAAAGTAATCTCGGCTGCATTAGTGTAATGCGCTTGACTTCGGAGTCAGCCAATCCTCCATGAAGCGTCTCCAGTTGGTCCAGAATGCTACCGCTTGCACCCTTGACTGGGGAGCACATAACTGCTACTCTGGCGTCAAACAAAACAAAACAAAAGAACGGCATAAATCGAGGGAAACATCATGCCTGGGCGCTCTTTTCTTTCAGCAGGAACTTAGTCTTTCGTCAAGGCGGAACGATTTCTAAACAGTTCCAAATAGCAGCCAGTGTGAGCAAAAACCTTTGAGGCTTCTGCCAGAAAGCAAACATGTCCGAAAAAGCCTACCCAAACAGCTGAACTCATCAGACGTGCAGTGTTGCAGTGCCAAATATTCTCCACTTGGCGAAGACTGTTCTGTGTGTTCAATGCTTAATGACTTTGATAGCCTGCTTCTGACTGATGCGATGACAGAAATGTCAGGAAAAGCCTACCAGAACCGCTGAACTGCATTTGGGGTGAATCAGAGGCATTATAAATGGCGTTAGGCGTGTGCTGACTCCCGTTTAACACCAGTTTTTTGTTGCACATTCAGATTGAGCGTCATCAGGGGAAACTTGGAAGGACAAATAACGCCCCCTACAGGAAATTTGTGGCCTTGGCCATTGTCGTTGCACTTGGTTCTCTGATGGCTTTTCCAAAAAGTTCTTGAACAAATCCCAGGACATTTTGGCGTCACGTGTCACGTGAGCCAAAGACAAAACACCTCAAAGAATTCCGGAAAGCGACGCTCCGAAAGCTCTCGTTGCGTTGTGACGGAAGTTTGCCCTCACCTCTCCTTGCTGCGGGTCGATCATGCTCACAATGTTCTTCCTGTCCTGCGCGGCTCCGTTGTCGATGCACCCCGGGCGGCCGCCGCCTCCGCGCGGGTCATTGGTCACGTGGTTGCCTTGGCGGCGCCTCAGGCTGAGGTTCATGTCGCTGATGCTCCTCCTGAGCTCCGAGTTCCTTCCGCGGTGGCCACGCTCGGCCTCCTCCGCCGCGCCCCCTGACGACATCCTGCTTCGCCTCCAGCGCACACCTGTTGGCCAGACAACCCGAGGATGAGCGCCGGCCGGCGTCACCGTCGCTCCGGTAGCCTCGGCGTACCTTGGTAGCTCTCGCCCTCCCTCTGCCGCTCTTTCTCCTGCTCCCTCTCCTCTCTTTCGTAGTCTTCCTTCCTCTGAATTTCAAAGCGCCGCTCGAATCCGTCCTTGGGCCGCCACATGTCGGCCAACAACAAGGGGCACTCCCAGGGGGCCACATTTCTGCGACACTCCGTCTCCCACTTGATAACTCCATCTGGCTGCTGGATGGGCTTTCCGATGACATCACACAGAAGGAAGTCCTCGGGGATGTGTTTCTGGAGAACTGGAAGGTAATGGAGAAAGGGTGGAGGTGCTGTTGACGTTTGCATTATGTCAGAAGTGGGACTAATTCACATTAAAAAAATAAAAAAAAGTCCCATCAATCTCAAGCCTTAACGTTTCAAGTTGTCATAAGGCAAGTCCTACAATCTTGCTAGTTGAGGATACTTTTGGGTGCAACTTCAGGATGAACCTAAAATGCACGGCAAGCAATGGAGGTGAACTGAATTGAAACTTTCGAATGCACGTCCAACAATTTTGTGATAACTAAAAATAACCTGAACATCGATTTTTTTTTTCTTTCAGTTTCCAAGGACGTTCAATTCTATGCCTCTCAGTGACTCTTCTAGTCTCTCTGTATCTCTGCTGCAACCCGCTGATGGCTCTCCGCTCAGTGACCGCCGCCCCCTGAGAATTGTTTCGAGCCTTCCGGTGGTAAGGTCGTGTTGATCAATAGGTAGCTGTCACCTTGCTCATCATGATGTCAAAATGTGAACAAAATGATCAAGAGGACTGTACAGTATCAACGCCTGTTCAGATTGAACCGGGAAATGGATCGGGCCATTCGTGGATCAAACATCAGTTGTGAATTTAGGAGCTTCTCGTTTGTTCACAGCAAGTTGTGCACAAAATACTGAATCATTTTTTTTCCTCCTGAATTTTTACCCCAAAACAGAATATCCCCAACTTTTTGCCAGTAGTTTATCGTCAAACATTTGCAACTTCCCTAACTAAAAAAAAAACAAAAACTGCACTCCCTCTTTCTCTTTTACCTGCGTCATCCGTTTCCTCCCGCTCTCTCTCCGTGTAGCGAGTGATGACCTGAGCGATGAGCTGACGGGCCGTGGAGTGAATGTTGGCCAGCAGGGAGCGATAATTAGCGCCGCTGGATAGCGCATCCCCGTAGATCTTGATCAGGCCCGGGGCCGAAGAAGTAGTCGAGGGTACGTAGTGGTGACTGGAGGATGCCGCCGAGTGGGCCCACAGCTCTCTCTCCCTCTCCCCCACCGCCCGGTCCCGGTCGCTGTTGGAGCGCCCCCGCAGGAAGAGGTGGGAAAGGCGCTTGGCGCGCGACTGGGGCGCCGCGGCCCGAGGCCGGAGGAAGGCCGGGGAAGGAGACGGCGACGGGTTTGGGGAAGCCAGCGAGGGAGTCGAGTTAGAAAGGGAAGAGGAAGGAATGGAGGGGGCCTCGTGAAGGGAGGCTGCGTCAGAGCTGGTGGTCGATCTGGAAGCAACGCAGGAGGGGAAGAGGAAGGGACCGTTCAGTTGTGAATTATGACTGACTAAACAACAAAGCCCAAAATAAAATGGGCAAGGCCACAAGCCGGGAAGGACACACTGGAAGTGACAGTGGAACACCATCCGACCCATCGTGTTCTACAGTGTGGTGATTTGGACTGGGTGCCAGTTCATGGCGGCGCAGGACGCAATCGCCCTCAGTCACATTCACCTCGATGGCCGATTGAAAGTCTTCCAACAGTGAAACGTGCATGTTTTTGGAGAGACAAATGATGTTCCAACCGAGGTGTGAACACAAATCTCCTGAAAGTGAAAACGGGATGTCGACTCGTTATTTTATTGATGCCAGACGATAGCCGTAGCCTTGCGTCCATCTGTCGTCCCTCGCTTGCTTCATGTCACATTTCAAGTAGAAAAAAAATGGTCGAAAAATAGGATGACAACACAATGCAAGTACACGGGTCACTCATCCATTCATTCATTCAGTGTACGAAAGAGAGAAGTGCCTTCACTTCCCTCGAGTACATCGGTTTATCGTTCAACTCAAGTTTTCACACTGACTCCGTACATTTGGGAGTAGACTGAAACAAGACTATCATTGTCTCGGTGTAAGTGGAGAGTTCTTCTGATATTTTCTTTTGGTGGTGTGCCATGTTTCTATGTGCCCTGCGATTGGCCGGTGACGAGTCCACGGTTGGGTTTACCTCTCGCCTCTTGCCCAAATTCAGCAAGGACGGGCGGTATCGAAAACGGAGGAATGGATCAAAAAAAAATGTCCCGGCTCAACAAATGAGACACATTTGGCTGAATTTAGTGAGCGGTAAGTGGCGGTGAACAGACGATAACCCAATGAAAAAGCTTCACTCGACTCACTTGACGGAGACGGCGCTGGGCCAGCGACGCCCCAGCTTTGCAAAGTGTTTCCTGGGGGAATTGATCCAAAGACCGACTGGGAAATGGAGCCTTCTGACACGAGGACTGCCTGACCCCTCCATCTGACTCGGCGACAAGGACAAAAACGACACATTCAAAGACAGGCAAATCCTAAAAATGCAATCATTGCTGCCGGACACTGCGTGACGATGTGTCACCAGTGCCAGAAACGAAACAATGTAACAATAGGATGATGTCACCGTCAAGATAATATCAACAGGATGAACACACTGTAAATTGTCAACAATGTGGAAATAAACAGGGCCAAATCAACCCAAATGCATTTCCCGGAAAATACGGCATCTTAAACAGGAAACATCCTTTTGTCGGATTCGGGTCCAGCTGGAAGGGATGTGTCCCCACTTGGAAAGTCGGTTGGCCGCCATTTTCTCCAATTCCGTTCAAAAATACACTTTGGTTGCCCTTTAGGTGATCCTAATCTCAAAGCATTTGTGATAACACCTTCAATTTTTCTTATTATCCATGCCCTGAAGTGGATTGATTTTCATTTTAGACCAAAAAAGACATTTTAAAATACCATTATGTCTAAAATGTTTTTAAAAAAATAATAATAAAAAATCCCAAGATTAAAGACAACTTTAAAAAGGATTCGGTCTAAAAATGATTCGCTACTCACCCACAGGAACTTCTGATCCTTGTGTAGTTTTTTTTTCCCTTTTTTTTTTAGTACCCAAAAAGCAAATACGCAGCTCAATGCAATCTAACAATCCTCAGTCTTTTCCTTTCCTTGTGATGAAATTCCATTTTTCTGTCCGTCACACATCTACACGTGTGCTTCTCTCAACTCCTGCCATCCAAGAATACAAGTCTTCTGCGAAGTATCAAATACTTTGACTCCACTTTTGCCCCTCGACGGCTTCGACGAGCTGTGCTCGTTTCTCTCGGCCTCTCTGAGTCTATAGATAGAGAACCAGGCCCATTGTTCCAAGTGACAGAATTTCCTTCCTTTGCAGTGGACAACACCTATATCCTGACTGAGAGCGGGAGAGAAGGAACAGCGACTGTGAAAGCGGGAGAAGCTGGAACAGTCACTTTGGACCTTTGAGACACACGGTGGATTTCAATCAATCATTCCTGTCGACATTTAAGGGTAATTAGAAGGACAATGAACACTGGAGATCTTTACTTTCTTGCATTTTACAGGGAAGAGGATGGTGGGGGGTGGGGGGAAGTCAAAGACAGTGAGACAGAAAGTTAGAGGTGGACACCTGTGAACTTTGGAGGAGAACGCGAGTCCCAAGACCAGGGTGCGGTTCTTCCACGGTTCACATTGTGAGAGACACAGCGATGGCATGTACTTTATTCCAGGCTCCCAAAAGTACCCGCCCTCAGTCTTTGACTGACCCCCACGGTGACCATGAAGTCAAAATACATCATGAAACTCTGTGCTTTTATTTTGAAAGTTGTGGATTTGTTTTATGTGCACACGAGTGGACATTGTCGCAAGCGAGGTAGTAGTGAGCAAAAGCCGGTCCCTCTCTTTGGAATGAGGTTAGGCAAGCCCCCTCTCTGTCCACTTTCAGAACTCGTCTTGAAACGCATTTTTATTTGACTTGGTATCATTTTAGTGCTTGATTGGAGCTACTGTCTTTAGGTCATTACTTTATTGGTTTAACTGTTTTTGTGGGTCTCATTTTTAATTCAGGCACAGCACTTTGTATGCAGCGGTGGTTGTTTTTAAAGTGCCCTGGAAATACCGTTGAGTTCTTTGGATATGTCAACAACAACAACAAAAATCACGATGTGTGTGCGTGTGTGTATGCGTGTGTGTGTGTGTGTGTGTGTGTGTGTGTGCGTGTGTGTGTGTGTGTGTGCGTGCGTGTGTGTGTGCGTGCGTGTGTGTGTGTTTGACTAATGAATGTACTGTATTAAGTATTTCATTCAAGTGTATGGGAGCATTTCAGTCATCAGGCGTGTTCGATTTTGTCGACTCCGCCCCGGCATGCTTTGCGCGTGGAACAGGAAGGACATCTTTCCATAGAGGACAACGGCCGAAAAGCACTCAAGGTTAGCTCGCCTTTACATTCAAATGTGGCTCTTTCGCTCGACACATTTGGTCTTTTGTAGTCTTTATACTGAGCTACTCAGTATTGTAGGGATGGGTAGCAATTGGTGTCGTGTTAATATTTGTCACCCCCGCTAAAAATGTCCACAATTGGAGAGTTAGCATCTACGCGTGAGTATCCTCCTCGGCTAACCATGCTAACTCGCCGAGTCGTTTTCTATTTAATGTCCGTTGTTTTTTTCTACTAAACGAACCACTCTGTTGCACGTTTATGTTGTTTATAAGCCATTAAGTAGTGCCAAACGGTGACTGGGTGTTGGCGGTCGAAACTAATTACCGCTCGCCGGTTTATTTATAACTTAGCTGGTTAACGTTGCGCTTTACGCGGAGGTCACGTCGATGCGCTTTAAGTCGCTCCTATTTCAAAATGCATTCGGTGTCTTATTGAAGAAACGAGTGAACCTCATATCCGAAGCCGGCAAACATGAGTGAGACAATTGAGGAGAAGATCAAGAACTACAGGACTGCGCCCTTTGACGCCCGCTTCCCCAACACCAACCAGACCCGCAACTGCTTCCAGAACTACTTGGGTAAGCCGATGCACTATCCCGATTGAAACGAATTATCTGGAGTCAAATATTGGATCGCTTTGAATGTTGGATGCTTTCAAACGCACCGTCTGCAAATTGGGCAAGTCTGCCCTTCACGTGATCAATCAACTATTGATTTTGATTATTTTATGTTTGTTTGATTGTGTTGTGCTTGAACATTAAAACAAATAAAATAAATAGGTAAGAGAGAGTGTTACTTATTTCTTTGGGGGAAGCAGTAGCTTCGGGGAATTGAAACCAAAGGTCATTGTTTAAGTCATCCTGTGGCTAATATGTCAAATTTAAAAAAGGCAACACGTTGTGACAGAAATAGTTCTTTTCAATGTTGTTTGCTGGTTGCATTCGAGGAGCCCTTGAGCAAGACAGCGTCCCCAAACCTCCATCTCAGAAAAGTGGGGCTCTGTTTTTTGGAGCGCCCATTTCACACTGACCACTCCTTGCATGCCTGTCTGTGTGTGTGATTTGCTCTGTTTGTGGTGTGTCGTACAAATGATGTCTTCAATGACACTATCCACTTCTTTTTGCCCCCCCCCCCCCATTTTGATTCAGGTGGTGTTCAGACAGATTAGAGGCGAATAGTGTTTGACAGTTTACGCTCTGCAGTTTTTGTCAGGCTGTCGTTCCCCTTGCACATGGCTCGCCAATTGACATTGGAGCGGCATTGAAAGATGGCGGCCTGCCACCGACCATTCTGAAGATTTTGATGCTCACCAACCTGAAGTCGGGAGGAATGAAGCTTTATCACTCTTGAGGCCTCCCGCTGCGTGGTTTGTCAGCATCAGATCCGTTTTAGAGAAACTTGCCAAGGATAGCGGAAATTGTACCGCACGTTGAAGCAGTGTGGCAGCAATAAGGCTGATCAAATTGATGGTTGCAGTGAGGGACAAAAATTGCTTGCCTGTTGGCATTTTTTCAACGCTGCTTCACCGTTAATTGGCCAGCCATGAGCCACGCTTACAAAAACTGCAAAGTCTACTCCAAACTGTCAAATGCTGATGTTAGTTTCACATCTGTCCGAATTATGCCTGAAATGAAATTGAAATAAACGAGCACAGCGTGACTTTTGGGACATCCGCTGTACAGGACAGTGTCAGTTGAATTTCCTTCCACTGAATGTATTCATCGAAGCCTTTGCCAATTTTCTGTCCAGACTTCCACAGGTGCAACAAGGCCCTGTCGGCCAAAGACCAGGATGTGGCCCCATGCGAGTGGTACAAGAGGGTGTACAAAAGTCTTTGTCCCTTGAGCTGGGTAAGGCCGACATTGTGGAGGCGTTCTTCAACGTTTGCATTCACTCTGTCAAGTTTTCTCAATTTAATATTGTGATGTGATGAAACTGTCAAAATATTCAAAAGATTTTTTTCAACCCCCAGTTCAGTTCAACATTTCCCCAAATTTTTTTTTTGCGTTAAGTCTTCATGTTACCATATTACACACAAAAAACAGTAAAGTGTCACCAAGATGTTATAATAAAAACTGCAGCCTAAAAACAACTTAATATAAAGACACTTACTCTTGTCATGTCTTTTTTTTTTTTTTTTTTTTTGTAATGTGTAAATTGGCCCCCTATAAATGCATGGCTCGTGTTTGCATTGCATTGCGAGGGTGTACCTCAAGATGCGACCACTCGATGGTCACGGTTGTTTTCATGTGTCCCGCAGGTTGCTAAATGGGACGAGCAGATTGAGAATGGAAGTTTCCCTGGAAAAATCTAAAACACCACCACTGTCATCCGTCAAAACTGGTTACAATTCCCTCAATCGTGTTGTGAACATCTTCAACCAGCGCCCCACGCCAATGCTGTCATCTTCTGTAGGGTTCCTGGTCTTAACTTAAGATTCAAACGCACGTCAAGGTCAAAGCTGTGTTTTTCCCCCAATATGTATAGTCACTTCCTGTTTGGCATTGTTTATTCAATAAATACAGTGCACACAGAGTCGGTCTTTTGTGTTGTTTTTATTTGGTCTCCAAATTCCATCCTAATCATGACAATGACACATTTTTTGCGATATTTGTAATCTTATCATCATCTTCAGCTTTTGACAAAACGATTCAAGTACGAAAATGATAGTTCAGTCTTTGTTGGGCCGATTGCATCCTGGGACGTCTTTAATGTTGTCGATCACTTAGCAGAAGTTTCGTGGCTCTGTAATGGCACACTTTGACCACAAGGTGTCACCGTTGGATAGGTTTCCGTTTGCCAAACCTGCTTCGGAGTCAGATTGCACTTTGGTTGTATTTATGGGTTTTACGTGGTGTGGTTTTCCGAGTAGTCAATGGACTTTCGGTCAAGCAAGCACATTCGATGAAACGCTCAGAACTGTTCGTTATGCCCCCCGTTATTTTTGTAAGGAATTTCAAACAGGCTAGTGGGCCAAGTGGCGTGACTCTGTGACATAACCGACTGGCAACGCACTCCACAATTGGCGCATACTCCAAACTGTGCTTGATGGGTCCTGACAAGTCTGTGTGTTTATTTGGCGCCTGCAATCCGTTTCATTCGCAATTGGCCACATCGCCCCCTGTGGGCCGCTGTGACTAAATGCAGCTTTCGGAACCAGCCACCCCTTTAATGGTCCATCTGAGCATTATTTCGACTGCTACGCAGCACGTCAAACGTCAGATCTGATGAATGCTGGCAGAGAGTCACACGGTATGCCAGTGAGCACATTCGGGTTTCAAGTCTGGGTTCGGGGTGAAACCATGGTCGGAATTTCAAGTTACAAAATAAACACTCAAAGCCAATTTAGACTTTCGATAGAGAGTCTGCAACGGCTGTTTTCATTGTTTCGAGACAGTGGACATTGTGCTCGTCCGGGTTGTTGCAAATGATCAGGAAATGGATGCCAGTCGATGGCGTGTGTGCGCAAGCGAGATTGGCAGACAGCAGCTCTGGCCTCGCTTCCTTCCTCTCGCGCTCTTACTGTGTACAAATAACACTTTAATTTGATTGTGTCCAGGTTGCTGGATGATACGTTGTCTTGGCAACAGATCACCGGATGGGATGTCGGGAAAGGAGGGCTTGAAGAATGAAGCGAATGCTTTCAGCGACACTGAGTTGCACGGTAGCGCGCGCGCGCGTGTGCGTGCGCGCGCGTGTGCGTGTGTGTGTGTGTGTGTGTGTGTGTGTGTGTAACAGCTGCAGGTAGGATGTCTCGCTTGCGAAAGATAACCGCTGTGTCACAACATCTGGTTCTTTTGACGCGTGTGTGTTTGTAAGACACACGCCGCGTGTGTGACGTTACTCCAAAAAAAAAAAAAAAATCATCAATACTCTGTAGCTCGGAGATGTCGAAATTCGGTGCCTCAAATGTTTCCCTCGGTTTTGTGTGACGTGAGGAGCGGAATCGTTACCCAGTAGCAGACATGACTAATTGCGCTCCTCCTGTGACAGCTGGGTTTCGTCTGCATAGTTAGGTTCAAATTTAAGAAATACTAATCACATTTTAGCATATGTCTGCAATTTCAAGTCAAATACATAAATAAAAATACACATTGGGTTTCGACACCAAAATAATTTAAGCTTAGTACTGTTTTGTGTATTTCTCAATATTCTTTGTAGAGCTTTTAATATCGGCAGCCATCCTGTGTAATTTCAAGGCAAAGGATTTTTTTTTTTACAAAATTCATATTTTATCGAGAGGAGTCACGTCAAGGATTTTATTCTTTAAATACTTTGTGTCTTCTGTCCGAAGCCATTTGTAGGAAAATGAATCTCAATTTATCAACAATTTAAATAGTCATTCCAAGACCATTGTGAAATTTCAAATTGGACTTTTTTTTTTTTTTTTTTTTAATGCTGCTCGCATCGTGCCGATTTCATCACTTTTCAAAAAACTTCCTAAAAAATTGATCACATTTTCTGGGCTACAGTCATCTGAGCAGTTGCGAAAGAACACAAGTTTGTTTTCCCTCAATTTTATTTGTCAACAGCAGCTCTCTCATTAGATCATGGAGGTCAATCCAGTTGATGAAAATCAAATCTTAACACTTTGGTATTTTGTGGAAGCCTTCAAATTCCAGGCCGAGATTTAGGTGGGCCACCAGATTAGAAATGAGGAATTAGGGGAAGGGAGGTGGGCTTCTGATTGTTCGCCACCTACTGAGCCGGTCTCATGGTCTCTGCATGACCGGGCTTTGTATCTCAGGCATGTGCACGTTGCCCATTGTGCTGGCGCCCTGGTGGGCAGCCGCCACAGAGCCTCCTTTCAGCCGGCCGAGTTTGTTCCCCACCTCAGGCACGTTGGCCCCCCAACGTGTCGTCCTCCTTCTCCTTTCTTCTCTTCCTCTTCTCTTTTTTCCCGTAGATGACCGCAAACATGCCGCAGTGAGACGCATGTGAGGTCATCATGATTGGAGGCCGGGGAACTACAAGCTTTCATCTTTGGATGAGGCAATGCGCGTTTTGGAGCTGCGCGTGAAATCGTGCGCCACCGTAATGGCTTTCGATGGAGTGGATTGAAAACCAAAACAAAAAGTCCACACACTTTGCCGATGATGCCGAACATTTGATCAACGGCACCAAGCAGGATGTTCTCACAAGGAATTTGGCGACTGATCTTACGATGTCACAGAGTGTCATCATCAGGTTGCACAAGAGAGACTGGAGGAGTCACAGAAAGGAATAACACCTGGGGGGGGTTAAACTAATTTTTGTCACGGGCCACTTTGGAGTTGCGTCTTCCCTCGGAGGGCTGAATTAATATTAACTCATCATGTAGTATTATTACTTGTAAACAACAAATTGATGCATCATAAGTTTTGGAACCAAGTGAGTGTAAACAGGTTCAGAAAATGATTGCAAAATCTCAACGTTATGTATTCCACATGACAATTTGACATTTCGGTACAGATTTTAGAAAGGATCGTGGAAGTTGACACACATGGTCTGCTTTCGCGGGCCACATAAAATGACGTGGCGGGCCAGATCTGGCCCCCGGGCCTTGAGTTGGACACCTGTGATTCCCACCATAAATGCCCATCGTCTGTAAGAATCAACATGTATTTGGTAAGTGTGTCTTCTCATAAGAATAGCATGACCCACCTTGATCTTTAAGGATGTATTTTGTTCCAAAGCCCCGCTAAAAAAATTGCTTGATGCAGTTTTACCGAAGGAGACTTTCGCAGCACTCGCCTCTCTTTAAATGGGATCTCGGGAGGGGGGCGAAACCAGACGAGTGTGTGGAGGGAGGAGGAAGAGAGGGGGAGGAGTTTCTCATCTGCCGCTGCTGAAGTGAGGGCAGACCATCTCAATCGTCTGGACCACAAACAGGTCCGGCCCATCCCAGTCCATCAGGTACAGTGGGACTCGCTGTCGCGCGCCGCCATTTGGCTTCTGGCTTTGCTGACGTCGGGCTGCCGCTTGTTTGTATCTATTTACTTTCAGGTTCAACAGCTGTTTGCACAGAGAAGCGCGTTTTTCCAGAAAGTCCGTTTTGTTCAGAAAAAAACGTGAAGATGGAGCGCATGGAAGATGATAAGGTAGACACTTCTGTTCCTTTTATTGTATGACCGCAGAACTTTAACGGCAAAGCTGCCGGTGCCGTGCCAAAGTTCCGAACTTGCGCCTGTAAACTTTCGGTGTCGGTTCCCACTTGTTTGATTGGATTCTGTTTGGTGCAGCTCGCATTGGAATAAAAAGCTGGAGTTCATTAAGTCGCAGGCTGGCATTTCGGTAATTTTCCTTTCTGGCAAGAGGAGGATGAGAACTGAGCGTTTTGGGGACGTGACTAAGAGAAGGGAGAGCAGGGCAAGCTGCGACTTGAGTGTGATGCCTCTGTGTTTAAATGCACGTTGAGAGAAAGCAAGGACACGCGCGGGAGAAGAAGACACAACATTAGGTACACCTGCGCCGTCTCATGACATCCGGTACGGGGGCTGCGTTGACAGATTCTCACGCGAAGTGATCCTTCAACGAGGTGATTCGGCCAAGTTCAAATCGGACGACGAGTGCTTCGTACCCAGCGGTGGTTTTTCTTGGGCAACATGTTGCACATTCTTTGGTCGTCCTGAGGCTTACTTCACATTTTGACATCGCTTGGATGGGTGTCCAAATATGCACACGGAATGTGAATACACACCAAAAAAAGAAAAAATCCTCTCACAAACTGAACTAATGCATCCACGAATGTTTTTTTTTTTTCGAGAGCGCTTGTCCTTACTTGGGTGACGGGTGAGTTGCAGCCGATCCCGCCTACTCCCAGGAATGGTCGCCAGCCAAAGGATTCCCAAAATAAAATGGTGACAGGTTTCATGGCAGCACATTTGCGTGTTGTTTGTTTAACGCTAAAATGTGAAGTCCATCCAACATGAATTTCATTGGATGTGTTTGACGTCAGGCGGCCTGGTGGGGGACTGGTTAGCGCATCGACCTCACAGTGCAGAGGTCGTGGGTTTGATCCCAGCTCCGGCTTTCCTCTGTGAAGTTTGCATGTTCTCCCCGTGCCTGCATGGGTTTTCTCCGGGTGCTCCGCTTTCCTCCCACATTCCAAAAACATGCATGGCAGGCTGATTGAACACTCCAAATTATCCCTCGGTGTGAGTGTGAGCGCAGATGGTTGTTTGTCTCTGTGTGCCCTGCGATTGGCTGGCAAACGGTTCAGGGTGTGCCCCGCCGACTGCCCGAAGACGGCTGGGGTAGGCTCCAGCACCCCCCCGCCACCCTTGTGAGGATGAAGCGATTCAGAAGTTGGATACACGGATGGATGGTGTTTGATGTATAAAAATACAAGTTGTGAGGGTCCAACGTTGACCCAGCAGTCTTCACCCCCCCCCCTTGTTGAAGAATGCAACGACCCATTTTGTAAAATTCCAAAGGATTAACTGCAGTTTAAAGAGGAGCCAAGACCAAACCGTCCAACTGTGCGAGTGATTTGGATACCTCATTGCCTGTGACGGCTGGAGTCAGGACTGAAGCGCAATGACAGGAAATGACTCAACTCGAGTCGGTTGAAAGGCAGCAAAGTGCTCTCGCGGTTAGCAGGTCTATCGCACCTCTTCACAGGTTCCGGTGTGGCATTTGCACGTTGGTTCTGTGCGTGTATAACCCCCCCCCCCCTCCTTGTTTGTCTGTAAGTGTCCTGGTATTGGCTGGTGACCATTCCAGGGGGTTGCCAGTATTTGTTTTTTTTTTTGTTTGGTTATTGTTTTTTTTTTTTTGTTTAGTTTTTTTTGTAGCTGGCAAGCAAATGTTGCAATGTTGTAAATGACCACTAGACTGATAATTGAGACTCATGCATCGCAGAGCTACATCGCGTGTGTTTCTTGGGCTGGTAAATGTCCCGACCGCTCCCCGCATTTAAAAGGCGTGACGGCACCGGCGTAATTTGCACGTCACATCGCTCGACAGTTGCGCAACAAAAAGCGTGTCGCTGCAAGTTGCCCGCGTGTTGTCTCTGCCTGTCGTCTTTGCGTTTCTCCTCCTTTTTGTTCTTCTTTATCTTCTGCTTCATTCATTTCTGCTTCTTTGGTCCGATCGCAGTACCCACACGACACAGTACGCTAGTAGGAGCGGCGGACGTCGTGTTCGAGAGTGCAGGTTTACAAGCGTGGAAAAATTGAAGAATAGAGGGCTCCGTCCTTTTAACAATTACCCACAATGCACTACCGGCGGCCATATTGGCTTGTTTATAACAGTCTTTGCGTCGTGAGTTTGTCAATTCTTCAAATGGCACACACTGATGTTGCCAAGTGAGATCAAGATTCAAAATACATTTTAGAGACATGCGTTCTGAAATCATGAGTGAAAATAAATACACAGAATGAATTACATTGAGTTTTGATCAGTCTGTAAGTTCTGTCAAGGTACACCCATTGTGGATGGTTGAACAATTTCAAAATAGGATCAGACAAACGATTACATGAAATAAAGACGTCCATGCAAAGTTAAAACATGTTTCACTGAATTTATTTGAAAAAAATAATTGTCCATTCGATGCATTGTCAGTGTGTAAATTCTTAAAATATACAGACACTGTTAATCGTTTAACGTCTTAAAAAAGTAAAATATTTGAGTGAATATTTGTCATGCAAATTCTGAAGATGTTTACAATTAGTCTTTTAAACAATTGGAAATTGCTACTTATAATGACTAATGACTTTATAATAGGCACAAATGAGTCAAAGTATTTTAACCAAATTAAATACGATTATTATTATTATTATTATTATACTTTGCATAATTGCCTCCCCGCCTCCCGCCCCTACAACCACGCAATACGTGATGCAAACTTCTCAAAGTGAAACTTTGTGTTGTGCATGCAGCAAAGATCTGCTGCATGAGCAGCTTATTACGCACTAATCCCGAGGCCAGCGGGAAAAACAACCGAATTCCATCCCGGTCCAGTCCCTGCAGGTGCTTTGGACTTGACCTGCAGGCTTGCCTGTCACGCAGCGAGCGCTACAGTCGCGCCAATAACAAGCAGGTTGAAAGGAAGCCAGTGAGAGCCGGGATGTGGAAAAGGCTCATTGTGCCTGCGTGACGGCCAGCGTGTCCACAAACAACAAGGAGCTTTGTCAAAAGGCAGCGACACTCCGCAGCCACTGTTCCAACAGAGGCCTTTCTTTGAGCAAATGCATCCACGCTTTGTTCTCATCTCACTTGGTCCTTTCTCTCGCCTTCATGCAACAGCCCAAGCAGAAGAAAGTCACCTGCTACCTGCTCTACTGCGTGTCCACTGCCGTCATCGGTTCGCTGCAGTTTGGTTACAACACCGGGGTCATCAATGCACCTGAGCAGGTGTGTGTGTGTGTGTGTGTGTGTGTGTGTGTGTGTGTGTGTGTGTGTGTGTGTGTGTGTGTGTGTGTGTGTGTGTGTGTGTGTGTGTGTGTGTGTGTGTGTGTTGCTAATAAGGTACCTTTTGTTGAATTGCACCAGTGTATGCAAATACATTTTCACCGTGATGTACTCTAATTACTTTGGGAGAACAGAGTCTTTCTAAAACAGAGCAACAATTGATGACAAATAGCATTCATTTCATTTCATTTTTAAAATGTAAAATGTAAATGTAAAAAAAAAAATGGCTCAAGGACAGATTCAAAAATTTGGGGGATGACCTTGTTACATGCACTGAGGGCTTTACTAAAGTTATGCGGCCCCAATGTGGATTGTTGAACACACACACACAAAAAAAATGCTTATACATATATAATTTTATTGCGTTTGTTTTGTTTTTCTTTTGTTGTGGCTTGAACAGAAACTGCGTAGGTTCTTCCAAAATGTTTCTCTGGAGCGCTTCAACGAGCCCTTCAGTCCGGGAGCCACCACCATGGTGTGGAGTTTTGCGGTGGCCATCTTTAGTGTGGGAGGCATGTTGGGCTCCTTCAGCGTGGGGGCCATCGTCAACAAGTTTGGCAGGTGAGCAAGTCAAGACTCTGGGGAAAAAATGCCAATGCCCAAAATGTGTCCGTTGACCATCTTAACCGTCCAGGAGGAAATCCATGCTGCTGGCCAACATTCTGGCCCTGCTGGGCGGGGCCCTGATGGGACTCTCCAGCCTGAGTCGCTCTTTCGAGATGGTCATCATCGGACGCTTGATCATCGGCATGTTCTGCGGTCTGTGCACCGGACTGACGCCCATGTACGTGGGCGAGATCGCCCCCACCGCCCTCCGAGGGGCCTTCGGCACCCTGCACCAGCTGGGCGTGGTTATCGGCATCCTGGTGGCACAGGTACGAGACTGACGCGCGTCTTGCGCTCGAGTCCGATAAGATCGTGTGCAGTTATGAAACGAGAGGCCGCACTCTCTTTAGAAATGGGGTGGGAATGCTGAAGAGCTGATGAGGAATCAAAATCTTCTGTCATTGTGAAAGTGAAAAAAAATAAATAAATTGAAATGCTGGAGGCACATTTTTAGCTTGTATCCATGAACTGTCCTGAATTTGCAGCACATCTGCAAAGATTTGCAAAAGAAATTAGGTCAAGAATTTGCTCTCCATCATTCACAAAATTGTGACAATATGGTGTGTTTTTGTTTCTTCTCTTTAGATCTTTGGTCTGGAGTCTCTTCTGGGCTCGGATACTCTGTGGCCCATCCTCCTGGCCTTGACCGCCCTGCCTGCCATCCTGCAGAGCATCATGCTGCCCTTCTGCCCCGAGAGCCCCCGCTACCTTCTCATTGTCCTCAAGCAGGAGGACGAGGCCAGGAAAGGTCCTGACCCGCACGCGCACACCACCGTACACGAGATCCTCACTTTGGCATCACATCTGTATTTTTTTTTTTTTTCCTCAACCTCATTCCCACTGCTGCTGTCCCGCCTTGCAGCGCTGGTGCGTCTACGCGGCTGCGAGGACGTGAGCGAGGACATCGATGAGATGAAGGAGGAGGGGATGCGGATGGCCATGGAGAAGAAAGTCACCATCCTGGAGCTCTTCCGCTCACAGAACTACCGCCAGCCCATCATCATCGCCATCGTTCTGCAGCTCTCTCAGCAGTTTTCGGGCATCAATGCCGTGAGTAACGCTTACTCGGGGCTGGGAAACGTCCGTGGGGAGTTAACGTGAAAAATTCTGGACGTTTAGTTTCCAATTGCACTACTTGTGGCTAAATGAAGCTCCTCAACTCACTTCAGCATAGCTCCATGGCATCAAGATGGCAGCGAAACACTACTTGTTTCCAATTGAAGCTCCTCAACTCACTTTAGCATAGCTCCTTGTTATCAAGATGTGATCTTGCCGTCACTCTCAGATCCCAACACGGACCCTCGGAACTGCGACGTCGTCCGATATGTCTGTCGCGGACTCACGTTGAACTTTATTTTAGGTCTTCTACTACTCGACGGGCATCTTTGCCACGGCGGGTGTAACTCAACCCATCTACGCCACCATCGGCGCCGGAGTGGTCAACACCGTGTTCACCGTTGTTTCCGTGAGTGTCGCACCGCAACTTTGTCGTCCCTTTTCCGCGCAGTTCGTTGGATTGTCGACCAATCCCTGCGGATTTTCCCCCAGCTCTTCCTGGTGGAAAAGGCGGGCCGAAGGACCTTACACCTGATCGGACTGGGCGGAATGGCCATTTCTGCCCTGCTCATGACCATTTCCCTTTCCCTGGTGGTGAGTGACGATTGGATGAGTCCGTCGGTTTTCAAAACAGCGGTCCTGGGTGAAGGCTAACATGAGGCTAACATTTTTTTTTTCTGTGCCACGTTTCACGTAAGGCGGATTTTTTTGGACTGGTCGAGGAACAAATACAAACAAATGAAGTTACCAAAGTGATGTAAAAAAAAGTGTCTTGAAATGTGTACATTCTTTAAAATGCTTGTTTTGTATTACCTGGGCAACTCGATTGGATAAAAAAACAACAAAAACAAGGGAATTAAAAGTAAACAACCAAAATGTTAAATTGGAGTCAGCACACAACTGCTGGCGTTGCCGAGTGCCTCTCATTAACCCTAATTCAAGTTCAGCTGTTCTCGTGGGCATTTGCTAACTTGACTGTATTTTATTTTATTTTATTTTCTTCCGAAGGTTTTGTGCAAATAGTGACGATTATTTGGAACTGTTCCTAATTCCTTCCACCTTGTCTAAGGCCCCACTTCGGTCATGCTCAGCTGTTGCTCTGGTGTTCTTTTGGTGATGAGCAAAGTTGCGTTTGGGAATTGTGGTCAAAAACTTGAACTTTGGTCTCGTCGGATCGTAATAAAATGCCCCAAAGAGATGCAGAGGGATGTGTTATGCTGATGCACCTGTATTATTTCACTGAAAATAATAAAAATGAGGGAAAAAAAATTGTTGAGTAATCCAGGTTACAGGTCACATTAATGGCGGAGAGTTTTAGAACGATATATCTTGGCTGCTTTTTTTTTTTTTTTGGTCTTACAAAAACTTTGAACAGTGGGGCGTGTAAACTTTTGATATCAACTGCATACTGTAGCTCCAATTATAGTTACCTCGATCAGTTTGTATTTGTCTTCAGGGATGTCATCATTTGAATATGCTCTCTTCTTTTCTTGTTTTGGATTCAGAAAAACAAGGCGGCTTACCTCTTATGAAGTATTCGGGCCCTAGCTGTGACTGTCATGAATTTATTTGCCTCATTTTGCTGTTTTGTCTGAGCAGAAATCGACCCCGTCTCTGAGCTACTTGGCCATCGTGGCCGTGTTCGCCTTCGTGGCCAGTTTTGAGATGGGTCCGGGTCCCATCCCCTGGTTCATTGTGGCCGAGCTCTTCGCCCAGGGTCCTCGACCCGCCGCCATGGCCGTCTCCGGTTTCTCCAACTGGACCGCCAACTTCCTGGTGGGCCTTGGTTTCCCCAAACTGGAGGTACGTGTTCACACGCACGACCGTCAACCCTGAAAATAGTCGGTGACGTGGCTAGGAACTTTTTTTCTTTTTCCTCTTGTAAACATTTTGACTTTTTCTATTCTCAAAACAGTACATCCTTTTTTTTTATTTTTTTTTTAATTTGTACAACTGAATGTAGGTAGGTGATACTTTACTATGCCACAAGAGGGCGCCTGCGTGCCACACTTTGTGGACGACTGCGCTCGATGATCCAAACTCTCTGTCTGTGTTCCCCTTAGGAACTCTGCGGTCCTTACGTGTTCATCATCTTCATGGTCTTGCTCATCGCCTTCTTCATCTTCACTTTCCTGCGGGTGCCCGAGACCAAAGGAAGGACCTTCGACGACATTGCTCAAGGATTCGCCGCCAGCGCCGCCAAATCCCCCAGTTCCCCCGCACCCGAAGCGGCGGTTGTGGACCAACCCGGGAGCAAAGAACCTCCGCCCATGTCCCCCTCGGAAAAGGTCCCCATGGTGGCTCTTCCCGCGGAGAATCCCTAAAAGAGAAAGAAGTCATGTGACAAGAAAGCAGGTAGAAAAGGTCAGTGGGACGACATCACATTTGAGTGAGCCTTTTTGTAGTGTCAAACAAATCACACTTAACAGGGTGCTTTGTTTTTTTTTTTTTGTTTTTCGTTTCATGTGGAAATACCAAAATAATTAACTGAGGTCCTTGTAAACCTGCTTAAACAGAACCACCGTGCCTTCAGAGTTTGTTGACATGCCTCGCATACTGCCTCCTTTGTAAGAGGATCAACCTGCGTTCAGTGTTCAGAACACCCCCGCCCCCCCGCCCCCGGCCGTCGGCCGCGTTAGAAGGTTACTGGATTCCAGCTTTTAGATATTGAGGTCGGCCTCACAAAGCCAGGCTGACCTCGAAGACCGCCTGTCGACAGACTCCCCCCCCCCCCCCCCAAAAAAAAAAAAAAAATCAATCCAAGCAAGGTCAGTCGTATCATTCTGCAGCATAGGAACTGTTGGTGTGTGTGTATATACTTTGCATTTGTTGGACTGTGCTGCTCAAGAAGAAACGAGTTTGCGTGCACGTCTACTGCCAACGAGAAACTTTGATTGTATGACGATGAGGTAGCGCTTAAGCTCTTCGCGGGACCTTTTTGCGTGACAACCGCTTGCAACTTTCTCCAATCAAATGGAGCGCAATGTACCACCATGCTGTTTTGCCGCCATCTGCTGGCTTCTTGGTCATGAAGTGTGTTGAGGAGCTTCATTTGGACAAACGTAGTCAAAATGACAAAAGAGAAGGAAGCAGTGACGGTGCAGTGGAAACATTTTGGAGGGGGGAGTCGAAAACTTGCATAGGCCTGTACAGTGGAAAAAGTAGTGCCTGGCAGTGTTTCTTTTAAATTGTTGAAGGTCAATTAGTTTCAATTGATTTTTGGAACAGGTTTGATAGTTTTTAATTGTTCAAAATGCTGTGTTCTAGTTTGTTTTTATTCAGTTTAGTATTAGATTTAGCTTTTTTTTCCATGTAAGGAAGATTTGTTCACTGCAAGATAAAAAAGAATAAAGCCACAGTCAGTGTTGGGTAATAAAGTCCACTGCAATTCCAAATGAACCCTAAAATCTCAGCCAGGAAAATAATGAACAAAGATGAAAACAAAAGACATTTTCACGTGAATCAACGTTACTTTTACATCGCGTTATAAGCCTCAGTTAGTTTATAGTTTTTTTTTTTTAAAGGACTCTAAATTTTTTTTTCAATTTCATAATTTTTTTTTAAATCCTTTTCAATTTTTGTTATTTGATCATTTTTCATGAACCACAATAACCTTGGTTCTGAGTCGCCATTTTGTGACATCGAGAGGCCATTACAAAGGAAGTGAGTCAATGACATGCTGATTTTGGCTATTAGGGGCCAGGTTTGTCTCCAGTTCCCGCAAATCACAAAAATCAGATTCTCTCCATTCAGAATTGCCTTTAATGACACGCGATGGTGGCAAAGCACGACTTTTCTTTTAGACATGGCTATGGCCTGAATCAGTCAACCTCCTGCCTACTTTGGTTTGTCCTTCCGATAAATGCCACAGGATAACAGCAAAGCACTCCTTTTACACTACGCTGTGCTATGACCTGACTAAATGAAGCTCCTGTCCTCACCTCAACATAGTCCCTTGGCGCCAAGATGCCACAGGAAGCAATACTTTTGCACCGGACAGGCCTTTGACCTGAGAACAAAAACAGTAATTGGGTGAGTCATGCGAATCGCAAATAAGCAGAGGAAAAAATGGTCGCTTAAGGTCGACTGGTTTAATCCTAACCTCGCAGGTCACCGAAGAGATCCCGTCAAAACACTAGCAACGTGTATTTATTTTCAGCGGTTTGGTCTGGACGCACAGAAATTGACCATTTGTTTGTTTTGATGCTGAACGCAGCTTGCGGGGCGGCGTTACATTTGCACTTTTGGCGGAGCGGACTTGTACGACGAGCGTCTGCTTAGAATCCAACGGACGCATTCGATCTGTTGCTGCCACTTTACATCGAGATGAAACCAACCCCGCAAGACATCATTGAATGTTTACGTTCACTTCAATTGGCCGGCGGATTATCTCGAGGGTACCTCATGTATTGGTACGAGTGTACATTTGTGAAATGCTCTGATTTTTCGTGCCTGTCTGTCTTTGGGGCTGTTACTTAAGCGTTCCTGTACGCCACTAAATATGCCAGCCTTTCATCTGTATATATTTGCTCTGTGCTTGCATTTTTATATCGCTACGCAAAAGTGATGAGTGGGTGTCACATTGCTGTGAAACGCCGCCTTCGAAAAGAACTAAAGTGGGAATAAAGTTGTGCATCTGTGTCAAGAAGAGACTGTCTGACTATCATCGCTGTCCGGCCATTGATGCGATGAACCAGATGTTGAACGTCATGCGATTGGGATGTGTGACAGGCCTATTTCGGCCCTTCTTGAGACGGCACCCCCTGCTCAGTCGGGTGAAACAAAACGGTCAATAAAATAAAAGCAAGCAAAAAAGAAATTGGGATAAAATATGCAACGAGAGCAGGAGTTCAACTTTCCTGCTTTGCTTTTGGTCTGTTGATGTTAACTAGGCGGGGTGGAGTCACACGATTTTCAAAAGATATTTGGTTTTCCCTGACAAAACTAAATAAATAAAAATAATGCTCATTGGAAGAAACCGTCTCTCTGGTCCTGCTGATGATTCTGTGTTCAAATATCTGGGCGGAGTTGATGCTATTTATTGGCCAGTACTTCTTTGCACAAGTCTAGTCTGTGCAATGATTTACATGAGGGTTAGTTTGACAGTAAATGGCATCATACATCCTGAAGCCTCTTTTGAGGCGGCTGCTTACTTTGCAGTCGCTTCGAAGATGCCTCTCGTGATGAAGTGTGTTCGGGTTCACTGCCACCATCTAGCGCTGCATCTCGAATTAACAAAACAAAAATCATCCGAACGTAGACAAACATTTTAAAATACTGTACTCGGTATATGTCTCTTTGTAGCCACACTGTCCATGAATTGATACCGACTAAAATCGACCAAATTGCACCCTCTTGTGGCATTTAGCAGTATTGCAACGTCAGTTTCAATCCGAGTCATCGTTCGCGTCCCACTCTGATCTCGAGGCACCACTCGATATGAAATATGAGGGAGAATTGGATGTTGCTGGAATTTAAAACAATTTTCTCCTCAAAAATCTCCGTGGCACCCGATGGATATCGTACAGTGTACTTCCAGAGGCATTCTGATTTGCTTCGTTACTGACAGCCTGCCTAAAAAAGTCAAGCGATTCATTTCGTAATGATCGGTTTTCGACATAAATACCCAAATTTAAGAGGCTGCCCCCCCCTCCCCGGCCAGCTGGGAATGGGGCCATCGGACTGTGTCGAGCCGGCGGGCAAACATCTCCCTTGCAAGAGTCCACTCACGTCTTCCTCATTGCGGAGAACTGGGGCATGAAAAGCGCGCCCCCGTCAACAAGCTGCAATGCTGCCAGGTGGCCAGTGGGTGGCGTGCGTGGGCCGGGCCTCAACCGCAGCCAGTGGGGGGTTGGAGTGGAGGGGGGGG